TCCAGCCGCAGTCACAGTTACCGCCTGCCTCGCCTCTCCCTGCTCCCTCTCCTTACACTGGTCCCACGTGCGCCTGAGTCTCGTCCTGCGTCGCCTGTTCGTCCTGCTCGCACTGGTCGTCGTGTCCCACGTGAGCGTCCTCCTCCTGTCCCTGGCACTCACTACATGACTCTGCGTCCCTCCACTGCTCCTCAGCGTGTCCCGCTACCGTCTCCTCCTGCTTCCTCTCTTCCTACTCTTCCTGACCCGGAGTCTGACTCCCGTCGTGCTGCTAGTCCCACTGTCACGCGTCTCCTCGCTACTGTTGTCACTGACCCTACCTTTGAGTCCTCTGCTGCGTCTGCTCTGGTCGCTGAGTTGGTTGACTTTGCTACTGCCTGTCGTCTAGACTACGCTGCTAGCCTTGTTGCTGAGTCTGAGTCTGAGTCTGTCTGTCCTCCGTCCGTCGGGGGTGAGTGTGCTCTTGGCATGGACGTCCTTGAGGACAGACAGGAGGAGTTCCAGTGTCTTGCTGCTGCTTTGCCCCGTCTCGTGTCCCTGCTAGTTGCCCCTGAGGGAGACCCGGATGCACCAGACATCCCGACCCCGCGCTCCTACGCAGAGGCGATGTCAGGTCCCTACTCCTCTCAGTGGCAGGCAGCTATGTCGACGAGGTTCCCCCTCCTGGGGCGAACATCGTCAGTGGCATGTGGATTTTCAGGGTGAAGCGGCCGCCGGGTTCTCCTCCTGTCTTCAAGGCGCGCTACGTTGCTCGAGGCTTCAGCCAGCGAGAGGGAGTAGACTTCTTCCAGACCTTCTCCCCCACCCCGAAGATGACCACTCTTCGGGTGCTGCTGCACATAGCCGCTCAGCGTGACTACGAGCTTCACTCACTTGACTTCAGCACTGCTTTCTTACAGGGCAGCCTACACGAGGAGATCTGGCTGCGTCGCCCTCCTGGTTTCACTGGGTCGGTTCCTCCTGGTACCCAGTGGAGGCTCCAGCGACCGGTCTACGGTCTCCGCCAGGCACCGCGTGAGTGGCACGACACACTGAGGACGACACTTGCGGCTCTAGGGTTCGCTCCCTCCACTGCTGACCCGTCACTGTTTCTACGCACAGACACCTCGCTGCCGCCGTTCTACATCCTCGTGTACGTCGACGACCTGGTCTTTGCCACTGCTGACACCGCGGCACTCGCCCACGTGAAGTCGGAGCTGCAGAGGAGACACACGTGCACAGACCTGGGGGAACTGACGAGCTATCTTGGCTTGCGGATCACCCGGGACAGAGCACGGCGCACCATCACCTTGACTCAGTCACACATGGTGCAGCAGATCCTTCAGCGCTTCCGCTTCACGTACTCCTCGCCTCAGTCCACTCCTCTGCCTACCGGTCACTCGCTCTCAGCTCTGCCTTCGGATGAGTCCGTAGAGCCGAGTGGCCCGTATCCAGAGCTTGTGGGCTGTCTCATGTACCTGATGACCTGCACTCGACCTGACCTGGCATACCCTCTTAGCATCCTTGCGCGCTATGTCGCTCCTGGCCGTCACAGGAAGGAGCACATGGATGCCGCTAAGAGGGTGTTGCGCTACTTGTGCAGTACGTCGGGCATGGGGCTAGTGCTTGGAGGGCGAGACCGAGTTGTACTCACAGGACACTCAGACGCTTCTTGGGCAGACGACCAGGCTACTCAGCGGTCGTCTCAGGGTTACACCTTCAGCCTTGGCTCTGGCTCAGTTTCTTGGCGTTCTACACGCTCTTCTTCTGTTCTCAGCTCCAGTTGTGAGGCTGAGATCTACGCCACAGCCATGGCTGCCCAGGAGCTACGCTGGCTGACCTACCTGCTGACCGACCTGGGAGAGCGGCCTCGTTCTCCTCCAGTGCTGTACGTCGACAACAAGGCTGCCATTGCCTTGTGTGAGGAGCACAGACTGGAGCACAGAATGAAGCACATCGCCCTTCGGTACTTCCTTGCTCGAGAGCTGCAGCAGCGCGGTCAGCTTTGTATTCGTTACGTGGCCACTGAGGCCAACACTGCTGATGTGTTCACCAAGGCGCTTCAGCCTTGTGACCATCAGCGCTTCTGCACTCTGTTAGGCCTTGTGCCTACTGGACCTCATTTGCTTACTTCTTGACCTTGTTTGTACTGTGATCACTATATATATATATATATATATATATATATATATATATATATATCTATACCTGCATGTTTGCTCTTGCTAGGTTGTGATCACTGTATCTCTTGCTCTATTATAAACCTGCATGTGGACTGGTCTTGTGACCACTTGCTTGTGCTCGGAATTTGTGTGGAATCCTTGAGATCCACCCTGAGCTTGCCTTCCTTTGCTTTGACTGGTCTCGTGACCCTGTGGTTGTCTCCCACTGCGCCTATGGGGGTGTGTCAAACATTATATGTTTATATGATTGTAGGCTGTAGTGGGTTACACCTTAGGGGGTACACTAGATTAGGGTTTCCTACTTGTATCCAACTTTGTGCTAGTACAGTCATTCCAGTCCGTTCATTCTGACATAATCTAATAAACAGGCAAGAAACTGGTGCTAACTATATCTCTACAATCATATGTAATGCGCTGGTCAGTTTGGTCTGTATGCGCGCCTGTAGTGCGGGTATCATGTACAACTAGAGAGCCTGATCCGTCAAATTACACAGATCCCAAAGGTTAAAACCTTTTAGGGGGTGAGGAATGGTATAATTTCAGACTATTGTGAATATACGTGGTATTCACTGTATATCTACAGAGAAAAAAAAATGTGTTGGTCGGTTCGGTCAGTATGCACGCTTGTGTGCAGGTACAAGGCGGAGCACAAACTCCGAAATCTCCTAAATTATGTGGATCGAAAAGGTTAAAACTTAGTGTTGTTGAAGTAGAAGGCCTAATCTAATGGACAGGCAAGAAATTGGTGCTAACTATATCTCTACAATCATATGTAATGCGCTGGTCAGCTTGGCCTGTATGCACGCCTGTAGTGCGGGTATCATGTACAACTAGAGAGCCTATATCCGTCAAAATACATAGATTCCAAAGGTTAAAACCTTTTAGGGGGGTGAGGAATGGTATAATTTCATACTAGTGTGAAAATACGTGGTATTCACTGTATATCTACAGAGAAAATAATGTGTTGGTCGGTTCGGTCAGTATGCACGCTTGTGTGCAGGTACAAGGCGGAGCACGAACTCTGAAATCTCCCAAATTATGTGGATCGGAAAGGTTAAAACCTAGTGTTGTTGAAGTAGAAGGCCTAATCTAGTGGACAGGCAAGAAAATGGTGCTAACTGTATCTCTACAATCATATGTAATGCGCTGGTCAGTTTGGTCTGTATGCGCGCCTGTAGTGCGGGTATCATGTACAACTAGAGAGCCTGTGTCTGTCAAATTACATAGATCCCAAAGGTTAACACCTATTAGGGGGTGAGGAATGGTATAATTTCGGACTATTGTGAAAATACGTGGTATTCATTATATATATACAGAGAAAATAATGTGTTGGTCGGTTCGGTCAGTATGCACGCTTGTGTGCAGGTACAAGGCGGAGCACGAACTCTGCAATCTCCCAAATTATGTGGATCGGAAAGGTTGTAACTTAGTGTTGTTGAAGTAGAAGGCCTAATCTAGTGGACAGGCAAGAAATGTTAAATTGTAATGTGTTATATGTTGGTAGGCTGTAGTGGGGTAGCCAATATGGGGTACAACCCCAACTAGGGTTTGCTACTTGTACCCAACTGTTTCATTCAATGCACCATTCTTGCCTAGTTCTTTTAACATGGTATTCAGAGCAGGAGGTCCCTAGGACCTACCGACCGTTTTTTTTTAAGGGCCCACCACCGCTCGCATGCGGTTACCACGCTACCCCGTGCCCTAGCCTCGTAGCGCCCTCGTGCGCCCTCGTTAGCGCCCTCGTGCGTCCTCGTTAGCGCCCTCGCGCGCCTCTCGTTAGCGCCCTCGCGCGCCCTCGCTAGCGCCCTCGCGCGCCCTTGTTAGCGCCCTCGTGCGCCTCTCGTTAGCGCCCTCGCGCGCCCCTCGCAGCGTCGCCCGCCCGCCGAGCCGCCCGCTCGCAGCGTCGCCCGCCTACCGCGCTGCCCGTTTCGCAGCCCGCCCGCCGCGCTGCCTGCTCGCAGCGTCGCCCGCCCGCCCGCTGCCCGCTTGCAGCGTCGCCCGCCCGCCCGCTGCCCGCTTCGCAGCGTCGCCCGCCCGCCGCGCTGCCCGCTCGCAGCGTCGCCCGCCCGCCTCGCTGCCCGCTTGCAGCGTCGCCCGCCCGCCCGCTGCCCGTTTCGTCGCCCGCCCGCCTCGCTGCCCGCTTGCAGCGTCGCCCGCCCGCCCGCTGCCCGCTTCGCAGCCCGCCCGCCGCGCTGCCTGCTCGCAGCGTCGCCCGCCCGCCCGCTGCCCGCTTGCAGCGTCGCCCGCCCGCTGCCCGCTTCGCAGCCGCCCGCCGCGCTGCCCGCTCGCCGCGTCGCCCGCCCGCCCGCTGCCCGCTTCGCAGCCCGCCCGCCGCACTTCCCGCCTGCAGCGCCGCCTGCCCACCGCGCTGCCCGCTGCCCGCTTCGTAGCCCGCCCCCCGCACTGCCCGCTCGCCGCGTCGCCCGCCCGCCGCGCTTCCCGCCGAGCTACCTACCTGCAGCGCTGTGGCAGCTTCCTTTGCTCAGTCGCGCTGTCGCTATGGCTTCCATCCGCGTGCTGTCGTTCGATGCTGAGGGCCGCCCTGTGAAGTTCGCCACTTGGCTGGATGACCTGCAGCTGTTCCTTCTGAGCGATAGCAAGGAGCATGTGTCGCTCTATGATTACGCGTCTGGTGCTGCACCTGCCCCCCCTGCCACAGCTGAGCTTAGTGTTCGTTCCCACTGGCAGACTCGTGACGCAGCTGCTCGCCTAGCCATTCGCAGTCACCTGCCGCTAGCTGAGCTCGAGCATTTTGGCGACTGCAAATCCGCTAAGGCCCTGTACGATGCTGTCGTTGCTCGCTACTCCTCGCCTGCCACAGCCGAGCTTAGCCGCCTCATGCTGCCGTACCTGTTCCCTGAGCTGTCCACCTTTGCTACAGTCGCCGATCTTATCACCCACCTTCGCACTAGTGATGCTCGCCTGCGTGCCGCCCTTCCCACCGAGTTCTGCGCTAAGAATCCCCCTCCACTGTACTGGACACTCCACTTCATAGTCACCCGTCTCCCTGACACCCTCAGCTCAGTTCGAGACCACTTCCTTGCTCGCTGTCCCACTGAGCTCACAGTCGCCCTCCTAGAGGAGCAGCTGCTCGCGGCCGAAAAGAGCATTGTAGCTGTCGGTGCTGCTCGTGGCGCTCCTCGCACCCCCATCTTTGAGGGGTGTTCTCCCTCTCCCCTCGCTCCCTCCTACGCTACTGCTGCTGCTGTTGACTTCCTTGGTGCTGAGTCTGCTGGCGCTGCTTCTGCTCCTGGTGGGAGGCGCCGCACCGGCAAGGGCAAGGGGGGCAAGGGTGGCGGGGGTGGCGCTGGGGGGGGAGGAGGTGGGGGAGGTGGGGGGGGAGGCGGTGCTGGAGGGAGCGGTGGCGGGAGTGCTGGTGGGAGTGGGGTCGGCAGCGGAGGCGGGGGCGGCGGAGGGAGCGGTGGCGGTGGTGGCGGCGGTGGCGGTGGCGGCGGCGGCGGCGGTGGCGGTGGCGGCGGTGGCGGTGGCGGTCGGAGCGGTGGTAGTGGTGGCGGCGGAGGTCGGAGTGGAGGCACTGGCTCGGCCCAGAGCTCCCAGCAGCAGCAGCGTCCCCAGACGACCCAGCAACTTCGTGAGTGGCTTGCTCAGCGTGGGACGTCGGGGGGCAGTGGCCGCTGTTCCTATGTCATTCGCACAGGTGACCGCAAGGGACAGACGTGTGGGAGGTTCCACACCCCGTACCGCTGCTTCTCCCGCCTTGACGACGCTTGGCGTGAGGAGATGGGCGAGGATGTTGAGCGCCCCCGCTGGGCTGAACTCATGAGGGCTGGTGTTGATATCTTTGCTCTTGACTATGATGCTATTATTGCTGCCATGTATGCATTGACTGTTAGTGCCGAGGGAGACTGTTACTTGTGTGTGCCGCCTGACCCAGGTATAGAGCCCGCTGCCCTGGGTACTAGTGAGTCTGCTCTCTCTGGTATAGTGCCCCCTGTACTTGCTCCCTCCAGTGCTGTCCCGGCTGTTTGCGAGTCTGCTCTCTCAGGTACAGCACCCACAGAGACTGCTCTCTTAGGTACCGCACCGGCTGAGGCCTGTCACACCTTCACCCTTGACTCAGGTGCTTCCCGCTGTTTCTTTCGTGACAGTACTGAGCTCACACCGCTTCCTGCACCGGTACCAGTCTCCTTGGCTGACCCCTCTGGGGGCCCAGTCCTTGCCCAGTCCACCACTGTGCTCCCTTGTCCGGCGGTTCCGTCTGGCTCGTTGTCGGGTTTCCACCTCCCCTCGTTCTCGACGAACCTGGTGAGCAACGCTGTCATCCAGGATCAGTGGGTTGACACCTTTACCCCTGGAGGACAGCGTGTGGCGATCTGCACGTGCTCCAGGACCGGCCGTCACCTGGCTACGTTTACCCGTCGGCCGGGGTCGAGTCTCTACACACTGACCACTGCGTCTCCTCAGGTCGCTGCTGTCGGTCAGGTGTCCGCGTCAGGTCTGGTGGCCCACACCTGTGAGTGTCGTTCCCTGTCGCACCAGACTCTTCTCTGGCACCACCGCCTGGGTCACCCCTCCTTGCCACGCCTCCGTGGCATGCACCGTAGCCGCCTTGTGTCTGGTCTTCCCAGGTCCCTCCCTCCCCTCCCTGCCTCGCCTGCGCCGCCTTGCCTTCCTTGCGTCGAGGGGCGGCAGCGCGCCGCTCCTCACTCCTCCTCGTTCCCCCCGACAGAGGCTCCTCTGCAGACCCTCCACCTGGACGTGTGGGGCCCAGCCCGCGTTCGTGGCCAGGGCGGTGAGCGGTACTTTTTGCTGGTTGTCGACGACTACTCGCGTTACACCACGGTCTTCCCCTTGCGCACCAAGGGTGAGGTCCCTGCTGTTCTGATCCCTTGGATCCGCACAGTTCGTCTCCAGCTCCGCCGCCGTTTCCGGACGGATCTCCCTGTCCTGCGTCTGCACTCTGACAGAGGTGGTGAGTTTTCCTCCGATCTCTTGAGGACCTTCTGTCAGGCGGAGGGCATCGAGCAGACCTTCACGCTTCCGGACTCCCCACAGCAGAATGGGGTTGCTGAGCGCCGCATTGGCCTGGTCATGGAGGTCGCTCGTACCTCCTTGGTCCACGCGGCGGCTCCCCATTTTCTGTGGCCGTTTGCTGTCCGGTACGCCGCACATCAGCTCAACCTCTGGCCCCGTGTCTCCTTGCCGGAGACCTCGCCCACACTGCGTTGGACGGGGGAGGTTGGCGATGCGTCGCGCTTCCGGGTGTGGGGTGCTCGTGCCCTTGTCCGCGATACGTCCGCGGACAAGCTCTCCTCCCGCACGCTTCCCTGTGTCTTCCTTGGCTTTGTCCCTGACGCGCCGGGCTGGCAGTTTTACCACCCCACCTCGCGCCGGGTCTTCGCCTCTCAGGACGTCACCTTTGACGAGTCGGTCCCTTTTTACCGTCTCTTCCCCTACCGCACTGCCCCCCTCCCTCCCCCGCCGCTTTTCCTTGCTCCTGGTCCCCCTCCGGTAGACCCCCTTCCCCCTCAGGGTCCTGCTCCTTCAGGTGTCTCTCAGGTAGACCCTCCTCCCGTCGCTGAGCCTGTCGAGGTCACAGGTGACTCAGGTGCTGCTGCAGGTGGTACTGCTGGGAGTGCTGAGCCTGGGGGTGCTGAGCCTGCGGGTGCTGGGCCTGGGAGTGCTGGGACTGCGGGTGCTGGAGCTGAGGGTACTGTGCCTGAGAGTTCGGCGCCTGGGGGTGCTGAGCCTGGGGGTGCTGCGACTGGGGGTGCTGAGCCTGCGTGTGCGGAGTCTGGGGGTGCTGCGCCTGCGGGTACTGAGCCTGGGGGTGCTGCTACTGAGCCTACGGAGCCTCGGGTTGCTGCGTCTGGGGGTGCTCCGGTTCGGGGTGCTGAGCAGTCTCTCACACCGCAGCAGCTTCGTGACTGGTACGTCCGGCGCTTTCGCCGTCCTAGTGGCTCGGCTGGAGTTGGGGGTGCTGGAGCTGCTCGTCCTGGGGGTGCTCGTACTGGGGGTACTGGAGCTGCCGGGACTGGTTGTTCTGGGAGCACTACGACTGGAGCTGCTGGAGCTGGGGACTCTGGAGCTGGCGGTGCTAGCGGAGTTGGAGCTGCCGACTCTGGGGGTGCTCTTCCTAGCGGTGCTGCGGACCCTGGGGGTGGCGCTGCTGCTGGTGCTGCGGACCCACCTGGTGGAGCTGCTGCTGGAGCTGAGGACCCAAGTGGCGCTGCTGCTGGTGCTCGGGACCCGGACGTTGGAGCTCCTGCTGGTACTGAGGACCCGGCCGCTGGAGTCTCTTCTGCTTCTGGAGACCCTGCGCGGCCGCGACCGTACTTCGTACCGCTCCTTCAGCAGGTTCTTGGGCAGGCTCCTCCTCCTTGTCCTCCTCCCTCCGTAGAGTGTCCTCCGCCTGTCCAGCCGCAGTCACAGTTACCGCCTACCTCGCCTCTCCCTGCTCCCTCTCCTTACACTGGTCCCACAGGAGGTCTTACAGAGCGTCGTGAGCCTGAGTCTCGTCCTGCGTCGCCTGTTCGTACTGCTCGCACTGGTCGTCGTGTCCGTCGTGAGCGTCCTCCTCCTGTCCCAGGCACTCACTACATGACTCTGCGTCCATCTACTGCTCCTCAGCGTGTCCCTCTACCGTCTCCTCCTGCTTCCTCTTTGCCTGCCGTTCCGGACCCTGAGTCTGACCGGTATCGTGCTGAGCACCCTACTGTCACGCGTCTCCTAGCTACTGTTGTCACTGACCCTACCTTTGAGTCCTCGGCTGCGTCTGCTCTGGTCGCTGAGTTGGTTGACTTTGCTGCTGCCTGTCGTCTAGACTACGCTGCTAGCCTTGTTGCTGAGTCTGAGTCTGCGTCTGTCTGTCCTCCGTCCGTTGGGGGTGAGTGTGCTCTTGGCACGGACGTCCTTGAGGACAGGCAGGAGGACTTTGACTCTCTCGCGGCTGCTGTACCTCATCTCGTGGCCTGGTTGCTTGCCCCTGAGGGAGACCCGGATGCACTAGACATCCCCACTCCGCGCACTTACGCAGAGGCGATGGCGGGTCCCTACTCCTCTCAGTGGCAGACAGCCATGGACGCAGAGATGGCATCCTGGAAGTCCACAGGCACCTACGTCGACGAGGTTCCCCCTCCTGGGGCGAACATCGTCGATGGCATGTGGATTTTCAGGGTGAAGCGGCCGCCAGGTTCTCCGCCTGTCTTCAAGGCTCGTTACGTTGCTAGAGGCTTCAGTCAGCGTCAGGGGGTCGACTTCTTCCAGACCTTCTCCCCCACCCCGAAGATGACCACTCTTCGGGTTCTGCTGCACGTTGCTGCTCAGCGTGATTACGAGCTTCACTCTCTTGACTTCAGCACAGCGTTCCTGCAGGGCAGCCTGCACGAGGAGATCTGGCTGCGCCGCCCACCTGGCTTTACTGGGTCGTTTCCTCCTGGTACCCAGTGGAGCCTCCGCCGGCCAGTCTACGGTCTCCGCCAGGCGCCACGTGAGTGGCACGACACACTGAGGACTACACTTGCGGCTCTTGGGTTCGCACCGTCTACTGCTGACCCGTCGCTGTTTCTGCGCACAGACACGTCGCTGCCGTCGTTCTACATCTCGTGTACGTCGACGACTTGGTCTTTGCTACTGCTGACACTGAGGCACTCGCTCGTGTGAAGTCGGAGCTGCAGAAGAGACACACCTGCACTGACCTGGGTGAACTGCGTAGCTACCTTGGCTTGCAGATCACCCGGGACAGAGCTCGCCGCACCATCACCCTGACTCAGTCACACATGGTGCAGCAGGTTCTTCAGCGCTTCGGCTTCCAGTTCTCCTCACCACAGGCCACACCTCTGGCTACCAGCCACTCGCTCTCAGCTCCACCTTCGGACGAGTCCGTAGAGCCGAGTGGCCCGTACCCAGAGCTTGTAGGCTGCCTCATGTACCTGATGACTTGCACGCGACCTGACCTCGCGTACCCTCTTAGCATCCTTGCTCGTTACGTTGCGCCTGGGAGACACAGGCGAGAGCACTGGGAGGCTGCTAAGAGGGTGCTGCGTTACTTGTGCAGTACATCAGGCATGGGGCTGGTGCTTGGAGGACGCGACAGAGTTGTCCTCACTGGTCACTCGGACGCTTCTTGGGTGGACGACCTGGCTACGCAGCGGTCGTCACAGGGTTACACCTTCAGCCTTGGCTCTGGTTCTGTCTCGTGGCGGTCCACCCGCTCTTCCTCTGTTCTCGGCTCTAGTTGTGAGGCTGAGATCTACGCCACAGCCATGGCTGCACAGGAGTTACGCTGGCTCACCTACCTGCTGACTGACTTGGGAGAGCGGCCTAGTTCTCCGCCAGTTCTGTACGGTGACAACAAGGCGGCTCTTGCCTTGTGTCAGGAGCACAGACTGGAGCACAGGACGAAGCACATTGCTCTTCGCTACTTTCTTGCTCGAGAGCTTCAGCAGCGCGGTCAGCTTCGGCTTGTGTACGTGGACTCGAAGGCCAACACTGCTGATATCTTCACCAAGGCGCTCCCGCCTAGTGATCATCAGCGGCACTGTACTTCTTTAGGCCTTGTGTCCACGTTTCCTCACTTGCTCACTGCTTGACATTCTTTGTACTGTACTTTATATATATCTTGTTGCTTGCTTGCTAGGTTTTGATCACTGTGTTGCTTGTCTTGTACTATATCTAGCACTGCATGTGAACTGGCCTTGTGGCCTTTGCTTGTGCTCGGAGTGTGGTGACGTTGTGATCCACCCTGGGCTTGCGTTGCTTTGCTGGACTGGTCTTGTGACCCTTTGTTCTCCCCCACTTTGCCTATGGGGGTGTGTTAAATTGTAATGTGTTATATGTTGGTAGGCTGTAGTGGGGTAGCCAATATGGGGTACAACCCCAACTAGGGTTTGCTACTTGTACCCAACTGTTTCATTCAATGCACCATTCTTGCCTAGTTCTTTTAACAAGAAAATGGTGCTAACTGTATCTCTACAATCATATGTAATGCGCTGGTCAGTTTGGTCTGTATGCGTACCTGTAGTGCGGGTATCATGTACAACTAGAGAGCCTATATACGTCAAATTATATAGATCCTGAAGGTTAAAACCTTAGGGGGTGAGGAATGGTATAATTTCAGACTATTGTTAAAATACGTCATATTCACTGTATATCTACAGAGAAAATAATGTGTTGGTCGGTTCGGTCAGTATGCTTGCTTGTGTGCATGTACAAGGCGGAGCACGAACTCCGAAATATCCCAAATTATGTGGATCGAAAAGGTTAAAACTTAGTGTTGTTGAAGTAGAAGGCCTAATCTAATGGACTGGCAAGAAAATGGTGCTAACTGTATCTCTACAATCATATGTAATGCGCTGGTCAGTTTGGTCCGTATGCGCGCCTGTAGTGCAAGTATCATGTACAACTAGAGAGCATATATACATCAAATTACGTCAATACCAAAGGTAAAAACCTTTTAGGGGGTGAGGCATGGTATAATTTCAGACTATTGTGAAAATACGCGGTATTCACTATATATCTACAGAGAAAATAATGTGTTGGTCGGTTCGGTCAGTATGCACACTTGTGCGCAGGTACAAGGCGGTGCACGAACTCTGAAATCTCCCAAATTATGTGGATCGGAAAGGTTAAAACTTAGTGTTCTTGAAGTAGAAGGCCTAATCTAGTGGACAGGCAAGAAAATGGTGCTAACTGTATCTCTACAATCATATGTAATGCGCTGGTCAGTTTGGTCTGTATGCGTGCCTGTAGTGCGGGTATCATGTGTGACAATTGGAACGAGAATGAATGCATTGAGCAGCATGAGGAGTACAAGTACCAAACCCTAGAATGTTGTACCCCATATGAGCTACCCCACTACAGCCTACACAGACTATAGTGTATAAGTTTGACACACCCCCATAGGCAAAGTGGGGGAGAACAAGGGGTCACAAGACCAGTCAAGCAAAGCAAGGCAAAGCAAGCTCAGGGTGGATCACAACGTCACCACACAGTCTGAGCACAAGTTCAAGGCCACAAGGCCAGTTCACATGCAAGGTCACATATATATAAAGCTAAACAGGCAGGTATATATATGTAACAGTACAAGCAAGGTCAAGAAGTAAGCAAGTGAGGCAAGGTAGGTACAAGACCTAACAGAGTGCAGAAGCGCTGATGATCACAAGGCGCGAGTGCCTTAGTGAAGATATCAGCAGTGTTGGCCTCAGAGGCCACGTAAGCAAGGCGCAGCTGACCACGCTGCTGCAGCTCACGAGCAAGAAAGTAGCGGAGAGCGATGTGCTTCGTTCTGTGCTCCAGTCTGTGCTCATGACACAAGGCCAGCATGGCCTTGTTGTCTACGTACAGCACTGGAGGAGAACGAGGCGGCTCTCCCAGGTCAGTCAGCAGGTAGGTGAGCCAGCGTAGCTCCTGTGCAGCCATGGCCCCTGCGTAGATCTCAGCCTCACAACTGGAGCCGAGAACAGAAGACGAGCGGGTAGACCGCCAAGAAACAGAGCCGGAACCAAGGCTGAAGGTGTAACCCTGTGACGACCGCTGCGTAGCCTGGTCGTCAGCCCAAGAAGCGTCTGCGTGACCAGTGAGGACCACTGAACTATGCCCTCCAAGCACAAGCCCCATGCCCGACGTACTGCACAAGTAGCGCAACACCCTCTTCGCTGCAGCCATGTGCTCTGGTCTGTGTCTCCCAGGAGCAACAAAGCGTGCCAGAATGCTAAGAGGGTATGCAAGGTCAGGTCGAGTGCAGGTCATCAGGTACATGAGGCAGCCGACAAGCTCTGGGTACGGGCCACTCGACTCTACGGACTCATCCGAAGGCAGAGCTGAGAGCGAGTGGCGCGTAGGCAGAGGAGTGGCCTGAGGCGAGGAGTACGTGAAGCCGAAGCGCTGAAGGACCTGCTGCACCATATGTGACTGAGTCAGGGTAATGGTGCGCTGTGCTCTGTCCCTGGTGATCTGCAAGCCAAGGTAGCTGCGCAGTTCACCCAGGTCTGTGCACGTGTGTCTCTTCTGCAGCTCGGACTTCACGTAGGCAAGTCCAGCAGTGTCAGCTGTAGCAAAGACCAAGTCGTCGACGTACACGAGGATGTAGAACGGCGGCAAAGAAGTGTCGGTGCGCAGAAACAGCGACGGGTCGGCAGTAGAAGGAGCAAACCCAAGGGCCGCAAGTGTAGTCCTCAGTGTGTCGTGCCACTCACGAGGCGCCTGGCGGAGACCGTAGACTGGCCGCCGGAGGCTCCACTGGGTGCCAGGAGGAAACGTCCCAGTGAAGCCAGGTGGGCGGCGCAGCCAGATCTCCTCGTGAAGGCTGCCCTGCAAGAAAGCAGTGCTGAAGTCAAGAGAGTGCAGCTCGTAGTCTCGGTGAGCAGCTATGTGCAGCAGTACCCGAAGAGTGGTCATCTTCGGGGTGGGGGAGAAGGTCTGAAAGTAGTCAACTCCCTGCCGCTGACTGAAACCACGAGCCACGTAACGCGCCTTGAAGACAGGCGGAGAACCCGGCGGCCGCTTCACCCTGAAAATCCACATGCCACTGACGATGTTCGCCCCAGGCGGGGGAACCTCGTCAACGTAGGTGCCTGTGGACTTCCAGGAAGCCATCTCTGCGTCCATGGCTGCCTGCCACTGAGAGGAGTAGGGACCCTCTATCGCCTCCGCGTAAGAGCGCGGAGTCGGGATGTCAAGTGCATCCGGGTCTCCCTCAGGGGCAAGCAGCATGGACACGAGATGAGGTGAAACAGCAGCCAAGCACTGGAACTCCTCCTGCCTGTCCTCTAGGACGTCCGTGCCAAGAGCACACTCACCCCCGACGGACGGAGGACAGACAGACTCAGACTCAGCGACGAGACTGGTAGCGTAGTCTAGGCGACAGCGAGCAGCGAAGTCGACAAGCTCAGCAACTAGGGCAGACGCAGCAGTAGACTCAAAGGAAGGGTCAGTGACGACAGTAGCAAGGAGACGCGTGACAGTAGGACGCGCAGCACGAAGGGAGTCCGACTCCGGGTCAGGAAGCTCAGGAAGAGAGGACGCTGGAGGAGAGGGCAAAGGGGCACGCAGCGGAGCAGTGGAAGGACGCAGAGACATCCGGTGCGTGCCGGGGACAGGGGGAGGACGCTGACGCGAACCACGACCACTAGTGCGAGCAGCACGGACAGGCGACGCAGGGCGAGACGCAGGCTCACGACGCTCAACAAGACCTCCAGTAGGACCAGTGTAGGGAGAAGGAGAAGGAAGCGGGGAAGGTGGCTGTAACTGTGACTCAGACTGGACAGGAGGCGGACACTCTAAGGCAGGAGCAGGACCAAGAGAGGACGGAAGACCAAGAACCTGCTCAAGGAGCGGAACGAAGTACGGCCGCGGCCGCGCAGCTCCACCAGTGCCAGCAGGAACAGCACCAGCGCCCCCAGCGGGAGCACCAGCACCAGGAAGACCCGCAACTCCAGCAGCTCCAACTCCAGCACCCCCAGCAGCACCAGCGCCAGGAGCACCCCCAGCGCCAACACCCCCAGTAGCTCCAGCTCCAGCCGGACCACCCGAAGACGCAGCAGCTCCAGCTCCAGGAGCTCCAGCAGCACCAACGCCAGTAGCACCAGCAGCACCAGCAGCACCAGCAGCACCAGCAGCTCCAGCAGCACCAGCAGCTCCAGCGCCAGCAACACCAGCAGCACCACCAGCTCCAGCAGGAGGAGCACTCGTAGGGTCAGCAGCTCCAGTACACTCGGTACGAGCACCTCTGGGACCCTCGGCACCAGCACTCTCAGCAGCAGTAGAACCCCCAGCTCCTGCAGCACCACCAGCTCCAGCAGCACGTCGCCAGCGCCGGGCGAACCACTCACGCAGCTCCTGTGGAGAGAGCAGCTCCCGCCGGGACGAAGCACCGGAGGAACCGCCAGGCTCAGCACCACCAGACGCCGGACGAGCAGGTCCAGCACTCTCAGGCTCCGCACTCCGAGACTCAGCACCCCCAGGCTCAGCACCCCCAGGCGCAGCACCCCCAGGCGCAGCACCCCCAGGCTCAGCACCCCCAGGCTCAGCACCCCCAGGCTCAGCACCCCCAGTCGCAGCACCCCCAGACCCAGCACCCCCAGTCGCAGCACCCCCAGACCCAGCACCCCCAGGCTCAGCACCACCAGCAGTACCAGAGTCAACAGCTACCTCGACTGGCTCAACTGCATCTACCTGGGACACACCTGAGGGAGCAGGACCCTGAGGGGGGAGGGGGTCTACTGGAGGGGGGCCTGGTGTAAGGAAGAGCGGCGGGGGAGGGAGGGACGCAGTGCGGTAGGGGAAGAGACGGTAGTAGGGAACCGACTCGTCAAAGGTGACGTCCTGGGACGCGAAGACACGGCGCGAGGTGGGGTGGTAGAACTGCCAGCCTGGCGCGTCAGGGGGAAAGCCAAGGAAGACGCAGGGAACAGCACGAGAGGACAGCTTGTCCGCAGACAAGTCGCGGACAAACGCCCTAGATCCCCAGACCCGAAAACGCGACGCATCACCAACCTTCCCCGTCCACAGCAAAGCAGGGGAGGTCTCCGGCATGGAGACCCGGGGGTGAAGGTTGAGCTGATGCGCCGCGTACCGAACCGCAAACGGCCACAGAAAATGGGGAGCAGCCGCATGGATCATGGACGTACGAGCGACGTCCATGACCATGCCGATGCGGCGCTCAGCAATCCCATTCTGCTGCGGAGAGTCCGGAAGCGTGAAGGTCTGGCGGATGCCTCGTGTGCGACAGAAGGTCTGCAGAAGGTCAGAGGAGAACTCTCCGCCTCGGTCGGAGTGCAGACGCCGAACAGGAAAGTCGGAGCCGAAACTCTCCTGGAGCTGGAGACGAGCTGCGCGGATCCAGGCGATCAACACCTCAGTGACGTCACCCTTGCTGCGCAAGGGGAAGACTGCGGTGTAACGCGAGTAGTCGTCAACCACCAGCAGGAAGTAGCGCTCCTGACCCTGCCCACGGACGCGGGCTGGGCCCCACACGTCCATGTGAAGCGTCTGCAGCGGAGCCTCTGTCGGAGGAAACTCGGAGGAGTGAGGAGCAGCGCGCTGCCGCCCCTCGACGCAGGGAACGCAGGTGGGGGCAGGCCCCGGAGGAAGAGGAGGGAGGGACCGGGGGAGACCAGAAACAAGAAGACGGGAAGCCATGCCTCGAAGGCGAGGCAGGGAGGGGTGACCAAGACGGTGGTGCCAGAGGAGAGTCCGGTGAGACAGGAGACGACACGAGCAGGGGGCAGACTCAGGACCAGACCTGGACGCCGCAGCAAACACCTGACCCGACGCGGCTACCTGAGCAGACTCAGTGACTGGGGAAGACTCAGTAGTCAGTGTGTACAGGCTCGACCCTGGCCGACGAGCAAACGTGGCCAAGTGGCGGCCCGTGTCCGCACAAGTGCAGTGGGTCACCCGCTGACGCGCAGGGGTGAACTGGTCAACTCCTGCATCCTGGAGGTCAGCACCCGCCACCAAGTTCGTAGAGAACGAGGGGAGGTAGAGACCCGACAGGGAGCCAGACGGGACCGCTGGACACGGTAGGACAGTGGAGTAGTGAGCAAGGACAGGACCCCCAGAGGGGTCCGCTAGGGAGACCGCAACAGGCCGACTGAGCGGTGTGAGAGTGGTGCAGTCTCGAAAGAAGGAGCGGGAAGCACCCGAGTCAAGGGTGAAGGTGTGGGTGTCCGGGGGCGACGCAGCACCTGAGAGCGCAAACTCACCGGCACCTGGGGCAGCAGACGCACTGGCACCTAGAGCAGCAGCCTCACAAGTACCTAGCGCAGCAGCCTCTATGCCTGGGTCAGGCGGGAAACACCGGTAACAGTCACCCTCATCACTAATAGTCACAGCATACATGGCAGCAAGAATAGCATCAAAGTCAAGATCATAGATTGCAACACCCGCCCTAGACAGCTCGCCCCAGCGAGGGATCTCCGTAGCGTCGGGGAACTGGTGGCGCCACGCGTCTGTCAGCCGACCGAAGCAGCGCTGGGTGGGGTGCGGGCCTCCACACTGCTCACCCGCCCGGTCGCCGGTACGGAGAACGTAGGTGCAGGGGCCAGCACCCCCACCCCGCTGACGAGCAGCGTACCACTCACGAAGCTGCTGGGGGGAAGGGGTCTCACGGGTACGCTGCTGCTGCTGCTGCTGGCGCGCACCACCACCGACCAGCTCCGCCGCCTCCGCCGCTACCTCCTCCACTACCGCCACCTCCGCCACCTCCGCTCCCACCGCCACCGCCGCCTCCACCTCCACCTCCAGTCCCGCCACCGACGCCCCCACCCCCGCCACCACCCCCACCGCCACCCCCACCCCCTCCACCACCTCCACCTCCGCCTCCACCGCCCCCTCCAGCCCCTCCAGCACCCTTGCCCCCCTTGCCCTTGCCAGGGCGGCGTCTCCCGCTAGGGGCAGACGCCGCAGCGACCGACTCAAGACCAACGAGGTCGGCCGCAGCAGCAGAGGCAACAGAGGGCAAGAGGGGAGAGGGGGAGCACCCCTCAAAGACAGGGGTACGAGGGTCACCACGAGAGGCACCTACTGCGACTATGCTCTTCTCTGCCGCGAGCAGGCGCTCCTCGAGGAGGTCAACGGTGAGGGTGGTGGGGCAAACAGAGAGGAAGTGGTCCCTAACCGGGCGAAGGGTGTCAGGGAGCCGGGTGACTATGTAGTAGAGGGTGATGTACATGGGGGGGGGGGGTTCTTGGCGCAGAACTCAGCAGGAAGCGCAGCGCGGTAGCGAGTGTCACTAGTGCGAAGGTGCGTAATGAGGTCAGCGACAGTGGGAAAAGCGGCGAGGTCAGGGAAGAGGTACGGTAGGATAAGGCGGCTAAGCGCAGCAGTGGCAGGGGAAGAGTAGCGCGCAACTACAGCGTCGTACAAGGTCTTAGCACTCTTGTACTGGCTAAAGTGCGCACGCTCAGAGGTCGGCAAGTGGCGGCGCACAGCAAGGCGGGCAGCAGCATCGCGTGTGGCCCACTGGGAGCGAACAGTGGGGTCAGCATCAGCAGCAGGGGCAGGAGAGGCACCAGAGGTGAGGTCAAAAAGGGAGAGGCCGTCTGCTCTGTCGCTCAGTAGGAAAAGCTGCAGGTCATCTACCCAGACGTCAAAGTCAATGGCCCGACCCTCAGCGTCAAAAGTGAGGACACTGGGGGAAGCCATGACAGCAGTAGACTAGCAGTGAGAGCAGCAGGCTAGGGCAGAGCAGTGGTGGAGGCGCTGCTCTTACCGGGCAGGCGAGAAGGACCGAGGCGCGTCGGCAGGAACAGGGCCGGGACGGCAGGAACGGCGGCTCGGCGGCTCAGCGGCTCGGCAGCTCGTCGGCACCGGCGTCTCGGCGGCTCGGCAGCACGGCGGCAGTGGCGGCTCGACGGCTCGGCAACTCGGCGGCAACGACGGCTCGGCGGCTCGGCGGCTCGACGGCTCGGCGGCTCGGCGGCTCGGCGGCGGCGTCTCGGCGGCGCGGCTGCTCGGCGGGGCCGCGAAGGGATGGCGAAGGGGCCGCAAAGGGCGGCGGTGGGGTCGCACGGGTGGGGCGACGGGGGGTCGCGGGCGGCTGCGACCACAGGAGTCGCGTGCGGCTGCGGCGACGGGAGGGCAGGCGGCCGCGGCGACGAGGTCGCAGGCGGCTGCGACTGCAGGGTCGCGGGCGGCGGCGACGGTAGGGTCGCGGGCGGCTGCGACAGCAGGGTCGCGGGCGGCGGCGACGGCAGGGTCGCGGGCGGCTGCGGCGAGAGGGTCGCGGGCGGCTGCAGCGGTAGGGTCGCAGGCGGCCGCGGCGACGAGGTCGCGGGCGGCGCGAAGGGCGACGGGGTCGCGACGGGCGGCGTCGGGGTCGCGGGCGGCTGTAACGACGCCGCGCAGGGCGACGCGAGGGTGGGGCCGCGGGGTCGCGACAGGGGGGCGCCGGGGCCAGCAGAGGCGGCGCCGGGGCCGGAAGCGCGGCGCGACGGGGCCGCTAAGGGAAGCGAGGGGAGGGGAGCGCGACTCGGGCAGGGGCGGAGCGCGCTCCGGGCAGGAAAAAAAAATCTTACGGTGGGCCCTAGGAACAGTTCCCACGAGGGAACCTGCTCTATACCATGTGACAATTGGAACGAGAATGAATGCATTGAGCAGCATGAGGAGTACAAGTACCAAACCCTAGAATGTTGTACCCCATATGAGCTACCCCACTACAGCCTACACAGACTATAGTGTATAAGTTTGACATCATGTACAACTAGAGAGCCTATATCCGTCAAATTACATAAATCCTAAAGGTTAAAACCTTAGGGGGTGAGGAATGGTATAATTTCATACTATTGTGAAAATACGTGGTTTTCACTGTATATCTACAGAGAAAATAATGTGTTGGTCGGTTCGGTCAGTATGCACGCTTGTGTGCAGGTACAAGGCGGGGCTGGAACTATGAAACTTCCCAATTTATGTGGATCGAGAAGGTTAATACCTTGTGTTGTTGAAGTAGCAGGGCAGAGGGAGGGGGAAGCAGGGCAGAGGGAGGGGGGAAGCAGGGCAGAGGGAGGGGGGAAGCAGAGCAGAGGGAGGGGGGAAGCAGAGCGGAGGGGGGGGAAGCAGGGCAGAGGGAGGGGGAAGAAGGGCGGAGGGAGGGGGAAGCAGAGCGGAGGGAGGGGGGAAGCAGGGCGGAGGGAGGGGGGAAGCAGGGCGGGGGAGGGGGTTTGCAGGGCGGAGGGTGGGGGGAGTGTCAGTAATAACGGACTGGAATGATGAACTAGCAAGGATTGTGAGTACAAATATGAAACCCTAATGTTGTGACCCCCCTATAGGCTAACCCACTACAGCCTACACAAATACAACATGTATAATGTTTGACACACCCCCATAGGCAAAGTGGGGGAGACCTAGGGGTCACAAGACCAGTCAAGGCAAAGCAAGGCAACAACAAGCTCAAGGTGGATCTCAAGGATTCCACACAAATTCCGAGCACAAGCTAGTGGTCACAAGACCAGTTCACATGCAGGTTTATAACAGAGCAAGAGATACAGTGATCACAACCTAGCAAGAGTAAACATGCAGGTATAGATATATATAGTGATCACAGTACAAGCAAAGTCAAGAGGTAAGTAAGTGAGGTCCAGTAGGCACAAGGCCTAGTAGAGTGCAGAAGCGCTGATGGTCACGAGGCTGAAGTGCCTTGGTGAACACATCAGCAGTGTTGGCCTCAGTGGCCACGTAGCGAATACAAAGCTGACCGCGCTGCTGCAGCTCACGAGCAAGGAAGTACCGCAGGGCGATGTGCTTCGTTCTGTGCTCCAGTCTGTGCTCCTCACACAAGGCAATGGCAGCCTTGTTGTCGACGTACAGTACTGGAGGAGAACGAGGCCGCTCTCCGAGGTCGGTCAGCAGGTAGGTCAGCCAGCGTAGCTCCTGGGCAGCCATGGCTGTAGCGTAGATCTCAGCCTCGCAACTGGAGCCGAGAACAGAAGAAGAGCGTGTAGAGCGCCAAGAAACTGAACCAGAGCCAAGGCTGAAGGTGTAACCCTGAGACGACCGCTGAGTGGCCTGGTCGTCTGCCCAAGAAGCGTCTGAGTGCCCTGTGAGAACAACTCGGTCTCGCCCTCCAAGCACAAGCCCCATGCCCGACGTACTGCACAAGTAGCGCAACACCCTCTTAGCGGCATCCATGTGCTCCTTCCTGTGACGGCCAGGAGCGACATAGCGTGCAAGGATGCTAAGAGGGTATGCAAGGTCAGGTCGAGTGCAGGTCATCAGGTACATGAGGCAGCCCACAAGCTCTGGATACGGGCCACTCGGCTCTACGGACTCATCCGAAGGCAGAGCTGAGAGCGAGTGACCGGTAGGCAGAGGAGTGGACTGAGGCGAGGAGTACGTGAAGCGACCTGGTGCACCATGTGTGACTGAGTCAGGGTGATGGTGCGCCGTGCTCTGTCCCGGGTGATCCGCAAGCCAAGATAGCTTGTCAGCTCACCCAGGTCTGTGCACGTGTGTCTCCTCTGCAGCTCCGACTTCACGTGGGCGAGTCCTGCAGTGTCAGCAGTGGCAAAGACCAAGTCGTCGACGTACACGAGGATGTAGAACGGCGGCAGCGAAGTGTCGGTGCGCAGGAACAGCGACGGGTCAGCTGTAGAAGGCGCGAACCCAAGAGCCGCAAGTGTAGTCCTCAGTGTGTCGTGCCACTCACGCGGAGCCTGGCAGAGACCGTAGACCGGCCGCTGAAGCCTCCACTGGGTACCAAGAGGAAACGACCCAGTGAAGCCAGGTGGGCGGCGCAGCCAGATCTCCTCGTGCAGGCTGCCCTGCAAGAAAGCAGTGCTGAAGTCAAGTGAGTGAAGCTCGTAGTCGCGCTGAGCGGCTATGTGCAGCAGCACCCGAAGAGTGGTCATCTTCGGGGTGGGGGAGAAGGTCTGGAAGAAGTCAACTCCCTCTCGCTGACTGAAGCCTCGAGCCACGTAACGCGCCTTGAAGACAGGCGGAGAACCCGGCGGCCGCTTCACCCTGAAAATCCACATGCCACTGACGATGTTCGCCCCAGGAGGGGGAACCTCGTCGACGTAGGTGCGTGTGGACTTCCAGGAAGCCATCTCGGCGTCCATGGCTGTCTGCCACTGAGAGGAGTAGGGACCCGCCATCGCCTCAGCGTAAGTGCGCGGGGTCGGGATGTCTGGTGCATCCGGGTCTCCCTCAGGGGCAACTAGCAGGGACACGAGACGGGGCAAAGCAGCAGCAAGACACTGGAACTCCTCCTGTCTGTCCTCAAGGACGTCCATGCCAAGAGCACACTCACCCCCGACGGACGGAGGACAGACAGACTCAGACTCAGACTCAGCAACAAGGCTAGCAGCGTAGTCTAGACGACAGGCAGTAGCAAAGTCAACCAA